TAAACAATGAGTCTTCCCCAAAAAATGCACATTAGTACACGGAACAGCATTCCTTGGCTCAAATTAACGAGTTTAATTGACCACAGAAATCTTCCACGTCCCTGGACTACTTTCATGGGTTCTATTGTAAGTGGCATACGTTTACTAAAGGTAAGTTTGTGCCTCTGCAGACAAAAAAAAAATATTAGGAAAACACAAACTGGAAAAGAATGATTATCACTTGTTTAAGTTACGATCTTAACAATCTTATAGCAAAGTTGTACATATGGAAGAACTAAAAATCTCATGAACAGAGAGAGAATAGAAGAGACTTCAGGAAGGCAAGGTCTTCAACAACAAAGTCTGGAGGATCAAGCTCATTGAGTCTACAGTAATTGTCTTGGACTCAGATGGTTAAATCATTTTAAAGGGAGGACACTACACTAATTTTAAGGACAGGGCCAAAATACAATTGTGAGAACACTGGAACATATGTTAAACCTTCTTGTGATCCTCAAAGTACATTACAAGCTCTTCGCAAAAAGTGGCAACTCCACAGATAGAATAGTTTTAGTAGATACAAGCCTTTCACTATTTTACCTCAGGAATCTGTTAACCTACCATGAGCTAGACAATATGGCTATACAAATGTCACTGCCACGCCAGGAAGGAAGTTGCTTAGCACTTGATGATCTCTGAGGTGCCACAACCAGGCTGGTATTCTAGTTGGCTTGTATATCTCTACATTGCTGGCAGTACAATATAGATATTCTCTAGCTGACTTTATCTGGGCTGCAAACACAATCATCTTCCTCCTGGCTTAAGTTAGCTAGATAGAAAAATGAGAAGAACTGTGTTTTTTATTAACCATTCTTATTCAGCAGTTCTTTTTTACCTTTTATATTTACATATTAGTTTACATCCAGAAGAATCAGAATTAAATTCCATTTTCCACTTAAAAGTGCCACTTTTCCAGTCTTCTGAAACACAGTTACTTCACAGCAGCTACAGTTGAACTTAGTTGAATACCACATGAAGAGACAGAATTCTGTTTGACACTGACTCAAATGCCTTATGTTATGTTAAGTTCAAGGTCAAAAACCTATGAGGATTTAGGTGACTCATATCTCCATAGCATTTAGACCTACCTCACCATCTCTAAAACATCCCTTACAGATTCTCAGTTTTTCTAAATCTATTCAAAATGCCAATACCCAGTAGATTTTCTGTGTGCATCTATCTTCCTATACAAAGTAATTTGCTATCTGCTCTGAACAGCATAGAAACCTACAGTTATCTCACTGATTTTACCTGTGGGGTGGGGGGAAGAGAAGAGAGACACTTCTCAGAAAATTCACTCTGACAGCAATCATAACAACTTTTCTAACAAGGAAAATGCGCAGAGCTTTTCAATACTACTACTAATCTTACCTAAGAATGCACAGCTCTGCAAAATCAGAGCTTTTAAACTTCTTACTAGTTTATTATCGAAGCACTCCTCTTGGAGGAGCAAGGACAATAAACTAATTACATTAAAGAAATTTCAAGACATTAAAATGAATGAAAATAAAAATTAGACACTCGGCCAGTTACTAACTAGCTTAGAAATAACAGTACTCTTGCAAGACGTGTCTCTGCTCTTTCTGTACCTTACCTCTAGAGTAAGAGATAAGCTATTGGTTTTGCACTAGGTCCTGAAACAAGCTGGCTACAGCTACAGCTAACATCATCTCCCTGATCCCTTTCCACAGCCACTTGTACACACTGAAAAAGACGACTGACAAGACTGAATGCTGGCAATACTCAGTGTGAAGAGAGGAGGGGGGCATTACCATTAGCGCATTACCTCCAGTTTAAATTTCCACCCAAAAGCTACTCCCATCCCCTGGCAATGCAGTATCATCTTATGTAAGCTCTTGGCAGCGTTATCTGACCAACAGAAATCGTCGGAGGCATTTCCGTTTCAGCGGTGACTGGAAGATACTGTTAACCAGCACAGAGCAGAACGCTTCCCAGGCTGCCTCGTCTCAGTCAAGCATTCCCAATTCAGATCCCAAATCAGAAAGAGCAGAATAACTGAAGACATAACGTTTCTTGAGCCATGGTCTGACACCGGGTTCCTTCACTGACACAATCATAGAATCATAGAATCGTTTAGGTTGGAAAAGACCTTTAAGATCATCCAGTCCAACCATTAACCTACACTACCAAGTCTACTCTAAACCAATCAAGGGTAGACTAGACTAAACCATGATGTCTCCCAAGACATGGCCACTTCTCCACAAACAGTGACCCCCCCTGGAACAGATCTGGCAGGATGTGGCCTGAAGCCATGTCTCAGGCCCCAGGCCCTCGTGGTCTGCTCAACAATAGCAGAAAAGTAGTGGACGAGACTCTATTTTTCTGGAGTCAGGTCAACTTGGAAGCAGACTGCTGAGTACAGCGTGATCTTACCCCATGGATAGGCAAAGCTCACAAAGTCAAATATTTTAAGTTATCTCTACAAAACAAACAACGAAGGTTTTAATACGTATAATGTGAACCACTTCTACCAAACTAGGATTTGTAGATGATCTTGCTGATGTGAGTAATTTTTAACTCACTGACATATAGCTACAGGACACCACAAAAAGGGGTTTATGGCAGCCAGAGTCAGAATAAGGCTTCAGCAATAACATTTTCCTTCCCCTTCAGTTGCTGCACGTCAGGGACTACCACCATATCTGGAAGTAGGGCAAGAATACTGAGGAGCCGTGCTGCTGGCTGACACCCCGAGCACACCGTAATAACACCACCTTCCCACAGACAAATCCTGCCAACAGGCATTTATTTCTCTTTGGAACTGAAGCAGTTGTAGTGGTCAGTGAGGAAATCCATCAGCCAGGCAGCTGAGAAACTGTCCTCCAAATCTTTCTCTGTGACTTTCAGGCTAAAGCCTGAACAGTTTCACTGCAAGACCACCACTTCATGGCACAGATGGCAACAAAAAGATAAAGGATAAAATACTAAATACACAAACACAAGTAAACTTTTATAGTGTCTTGCACGTGAAGACACTGATTTGCTAATCTTGCCAAAACAACTGTAAGTGACTGGCAATTCCTAGTTTGGAGTGTCCACGTGGAGACAGGATTTTTCAGACAAAAGGAGAGCAGCACTGCCCAGAAAAAAAATCCATCCAATGCCTCAAAATAGACAAAAATCAAAGCACTCAAACTCTTAGTCACTTGTGACTGTTTGTTGTGGTACTGTTCATTGGGTTGTTTTTCTAATAATAATTCAAACACTCTTTTTGTGTTAAGAAGCACAACAACAAGTTTCACTGGAATGCAGACTTTATAGTTACAGATTTCCCAGTGTCAGAAAAATCAAATCAAAACTGTCAGGTATTAGAGTGCACATTTTTTCACTAATGCTAATAGAAAGAAATATTAGCAATATTACAACTAACTGCCAGAGGAAATAAGTCAGAAAAATATACTGTGGGAAAAATTAAGAAACTATTGATTAGATTACTTGATTATTAGAGCTTCTCCATCCACTCAAGACGACAATTAAATCAGACATCAAAATTCATTAGCAAAATGAATTTACATGACTTTACATGTTCTCTTCTCCCCTCCTACCTAGATATCATATCCATAAGATGGCAGACGGAGGCTTTGAAAAATCTGGTGTATCTTAAAGTGATTACCTAAAAACTAAAGATTAATTAAAAGGTCTTTATTAGGCATACATAAAACCTTATAAAAAGAAAAAAAAAAAAATTAAAACCCAAGTGTTTTCCAGTAAGCATCTATGTTTGTGTCATGGCTGTAATGAAACATGCATTAAGTATGAAACATATGGTTTCCATTTTGTTGCCCTGGAATCCATCCAAAGACATTTTATGTTGTTAGCTTAACTGTTCTCCTCAGCTGAGAAGCTGTGGAAAATATCTCATCTGAAAAAAATCTGTACCTAATGGATAACTATAAAGGATTTGCTAGATCTGTGGCAGACTACTTTATTAAAAAATGTCTCTGAGATTACTATTTAATGACTGGATTTTTTTTTAATTAGCATATAATTTTAAAACTCAAAAAAATTTGCTTTAAGAGGTACCACAAATTATATTAACAGATTATGTTGGTAATATTTTCTTTATTTAATAAATTTGTAGTGGTGTTTATAGCACTCTGTTGGAACCAGGCCATCTGACCTAACAAGAATGCATGACAAAATCATTACTAATGTATCATCTCCCTGATTTTACATATTTGAGAAACTTATCTTATGCCAAAAGAGCTGTGCTCTGAAGATCACTTTTGGCTAATAACCTGATTCAGAGGCAAGGATCAGTAAAAATGAGAGAAAAAGAAGAAAGATCATATTTATTTCTTTTTAATAATGCTTGGGTTTGCCTTGATACAGAAATAGGTTGTCAAAGACTTGGCTAAGAATTTCAAGACATCTATCATCAATGCACAGATTTAAATTTTACTTACGTTAACGGAAAATATACTAGAAAGGCTGAAGACAAAGTCAGAAGGTTAAATTTTGCCATGCTGTGCTTAAAAATTCATCCCCAAATTGTAAGGCTGCTGACCTCAGTAACAACAGCAGGCACTGTATAAAACCTTTCATACCTTTGTGCTGTAAACTATTTCAGCTATTGACCTGTTCCAGGAATGAGCATGTATTTAAACCATTAAGCCTGTTGTAGTTCTTAGAGTTTATTGCTAATCTTTCTTCTGATGAAGCCAATGGAAAAATAGTATCATGAATAAATTGATAAATCCAACCAGATGAGTCTGGAGACTTGACCATACCGTGTTCCTTTATTACTTTAGTTAAGATGATTTGGAATACAGCAGTTGAAAGCCCCCCTTTTGTTACCTTAATATATCACGTGGCTTCAGGACTGTGGTCTCTGTAAAGGGCCTGCAACTTGAAAATTCACATTGCCGATGCTCTGCTAACGTACAAGCTTGTTCATCTTCACAACTCATTGCAAGAACTAGCTGGTTATTTTAACTCACCTTTGCCATCTGCGCTTGGACTCCACTAGCCTTTAAAGCAGAAACCGCCTTCTGAGCAGCTGCCGGGCTGTCAAAGTCAACAAAACCATAACCTGAAATATAAACATATTTCATTAATGAGACAGCAACCAGCTTATAATCAAATGGTTCATATGCTACTAGCACGGTTATTTAATACAATTTTCTTGTTGGTGAAGAGGGCCAATTTGAACTCCAAAGTTCTTCATGTAGTGCCAAAAAAACCAATCTACCAACGTCCTTCAATCTTGACCTGGTGGGGACCTACCCTAGTGGAATGAATCAATTTCCATGCCCACTCACTATCAGGATTTTGTCCAAATTGCTAACAAGTAGTATGGCGGTTTGCTTTGTGTCATCTGGTAAGCATCTTCTAAGAGCAAATGTGACATCATCAGTTTATGTCATAGACATCACCAAGAAAAGCACAGTCTGTTAATTTTTCTAAACTAAATTCTTAGTCCAGTTTGAATAGGTGACCAATAAGCCTCTAAGTTACACGTTATTTACTCAAAACTGTGAGGGGAATTTAGTTCAAAAGATGCATATCTACTGCATCATAACCCAATTTTTGGTTGGTTAGTTACTTCAATGTATATACATAAAAGACAGTTAAATTTTAAAAGGGAGTTAAAAGCTTCAGTGAAATCAAGTGAGTTTTTCCCATTGCTGTTACTGAAACCAGAATGTAAAAAATTGTCCTGAAAGCATTTTCTATGCCATATAATACAATCTTTAAATGTTAAAGTAAACGCAAAGTTAGTTGCAACAATTTCCATATATTTGCAGTAACTTCTTTTCTTATTCTGAACAACAGCGTACAGCTAACAGGTTCCAGGACATCTGAACAGCAATATACCTTGGCCTTTACATATAAAATATATATATAATATA